TTCACTCCTGGCGCTATTTTTAAGGCCCTAAAAGCACATACATTGTCGCGCTTTAACTCTGATTCCCATACTTTCAGATATCAGGCCTTTCCTACACGGGTCGTCTGTTTGGTTAAACCCATGTTATCTAAGCAAACTGCGGACGCGTATCTCTTATCGCATGCGGCATCTTAAGTGGATTTCTAGTGCATTTTGGCCAGAACCACTAAGTTCTATTAAAGTGTGCAATCCGTCTGCCCAGCCCTCTGACTGCCAGGCCCCCAAAGTTGTACTGGTTTATTCAAAATGGCCATCACTCACTGACAACGTCTTTGCTTAATTGACGAATACCCCTGCCCCCCACTTTCGTCATCGCAATCCCTTTTCCTCTGGTTAGCGGCAGATCCCTGCTTCAGGCGTCTCCTTTCTGCTGGTCTTGCTCTATTCTTGTTTTCCCCGAGTTTGCTTATGCAGTAGGCAAAGTTATCGCTAACTCTACCTTCCTCCAATCTCCTGTTCATTAATTTTGTCTCTCCAAGAATGTCAATGGCTTCCCTAATCTTCCGCTTCCTTGTGTTGTCATCGTATGATGCCCTTCTTTCTGTTATCTTCCGATTGATCTCGTGTCCAGTCTGTGCGATGTGTTCCGCTAGTTCTTATCTTTCGGTATCCATTTTCCTGCAGAGCCTCTGATGTTTCTTGATTCGTATGCTAATTTTTCTCCCTGTTCCGCCAATATATTTCTGTCCGCAGCCGCCGCATGATATACAGTAAACTCCTGAACAGTCCAATTTGTCTACCCTTTCATATTGCGTTGGTGGACTTGTGAAAAGTGTTGATTTCTCCTTTATGGCCACCTAAATATTCCATTTGCTCAATATTGGTCGTAGTTTTTGAGTTAGTTCGCAGGAAGGCAGGCATATCTACTTTTGTGAATCTTTCATACTCCCCATTCTGCCATCGGCTTTTCACGGCCCGTATGTTTCTTTGTATTACTTCATTTGGGTAGCCGTTGCCGAGGTATATCCCCGTCAATTTGTCCAGCACTTCGTCCCAGAAATCTGCATCCGTCAGGCGTAGGCTTCGGATGATCATGCTCCTCATTATTCCAATCTTTAGCCTGTAATTGGGATGAGACCGGAAATTGAGTATTATTCCCGCATAAGACTGCTTTCTGAACAATTTCTTTTTCAGCGTTCCATTAGAACGAATCATTTCAACGTCCAGGAACGGTAACCGCTCACCTTCCTCTACTTCCATTGTGAATTCAATTTTTCCATCAAGCTGGTTTACAAATTTCAGAAACTCCTCTAGTTTTTGAGAATGTATCAAGTCCACTGTTAGATGCTGGGAATCCTGACAACTACTATGGCAGACGTCTTCGGACTAGGTGCGTACCACATAGTCTCCCTGACAACAAGACCAAGTTGCGACAACGAGGTCAACCCACTTCCTTACAATTGGCTTAAATTTTTGTCCTTCCTAAAGAAAAAGCTCAACTTAAAAACGAAGAATTTTCTGTAATGCATGCAAGAAAAGATATATGTTATGCAAATTAATCGTACATTCTCATCCATTTTCTGCATGAATAGCTGCCTCATCCTCAAAAGAAGTTTGCAGCCACACATAACTGTTCGGCCCAACAAAACCAGATGCCTTTGCGTCTATGAACTTGGTGGTCGGTGTTCTCAAACGAAGCAAAGTGTTGAAAATTTTAAGGAATATGCGAGTGGGCCCCATGAAGGTCTGTTGTCAACTAAAACAAAGACAGGAAGATGCAGTATGAATCAGGTAAGCGCTGAAATATTCGGTGAAGAGCTTCATGGCACGCTTAAAGCTGGCGTAGCAGGTGGACTAAAATCTTCGCAGGCACAAAATTCGAAGAGCCATGTTGACCACTTGCAGAGCGAGGTCGTCTGGACACACCGAGCTGCAGAATGCACATCCTTGGAAGTCACCGTAAAACCCAGCTCGCCATCTTCATCGCTCAGTTCCTGTCTAGGTGACGATTCGACACAGCTGTCTGGTCCGCAGCTCATTCCAACAGAAGCTTTAGTAGTAAAGTTTGTGGATACCACAAACTACCCTCAGGAAGCAGGTGACGAACAGCTGAAAACCTGGAAGCTGAGACAGCCAGACAGGCAGGACCAGACTTCGGTGCCGTCCAACGTGGCCAAAATTTGTCGCTCAAGACAACGAGGATTGCCAATTCCCGATACACACGAGCCATTCAGCTGCGAAATACCTCACAGCCTAGTTAGTACAAATATCAACATGGCACCGACTTTCAATCCTTGGAACGTAAAGTCTCCAATCACAGTGACTCGAAATGCAGTTCGCACAGTTCGTAGCACCAAGGTTAAAATATTAAAGGAAGAGTCCCGTGACAGAGGAGTCAGTTGTCCTTCCTGCGTCTACAACCGAAATTGAGGATTAAAGTTGCTGTAGAAGTTTCAA